GCCTTCCTCATCAACAATCTCCCCTCATCAAGCAAGCGCCAGATCGCGCTGCCGTTGCAAGGCGGGTTTGCGGGATTCGGCGGTATTGCCGGAGCACTCATTTTCAGGACCCAGGATGCACCAAGGTATCTCTTTGGCCTCTATCTGTCCATTGCGTTTGCCTGCTGCAGCATACTTATGACCAGTGCGCTGGTGTTCTATTTCCATCGTGAGAATAAAAAGGCAGAGGAGGGAGGACCGGCCATCGATGGCATCGAGGGCTTCCACTATACGCTCTAGGGCGTACAGCCCCAGGTGGTGGGCTGATGGTTTTGGAACCAGTGTCTCAATAAGAAAATGTACAGAACCAGATTCGCATGGAGGGAGCAGACCGTCACAGTCGAAATGAAAGGATAAAGAGAGTAGAAACCAACCTAGATCGTGAAGATCCGCCGTGCCCGACGTGCAGTGCAGCATGAAACCTCCAATCGATCTCCCAGATTCCACCCCATATTGTACCGATGTACCTTCTTGATTATCGGAGCACACCGCTTCTATTTCGTCAGAACCCCAAATTGAAGGATCGCTGACCGACTTGACAATCATTCATCTCGTCTGCAGAAAGCTGTCGTAGTCTCGTGATGATGTACGTGTTGCGGGTCCAATAGTAAGACGAGTAATGTTAGTTTGCCCTCCGAAATTGGATCGCTCTGGCTCCCCTACTACCAAAATGTCATATGTGCAAAGGGCGAACTCTGTCCCCAGCATGGCGATCAACTTTCCGGGGGCTCACGTTTCCCCTAAATCTCTCTATGCACATCTGATCTCTTTCCAGCGTTCGAATGACGAGCCTTACTTCATCCCTTCATTGTGTTCTAATATGGCAAATAGCATCGAGGGGCGACCTTGCGTGCTGTACACGCGGATATCTTCGAGAAGACGTTGGCCGAACGTCTCGGGTCCTGGCCTGATGAGAAATGGCTTTAATTGTCACCAAGTAAAGTTGGCAACTTAGTCACACGATGAATGGTCTGGCCTGGAGGCAAACAATTTGTCTCGCCTAAAAGTACCCGAGGCCAGAGGGGCAATTCGACGTGCATGTAGCTGCACACCATAGCTCGGTGGCAGGGAGAGCTACAAAAGGCCCTCTAGCCAAGTTAGGTACTTCTATGTTAGGTCGGAGATGATGTTCTCGTACTTCCTCGTCATTAGAAGCGGTCGCGCCTACCTAAAGAGTGGAGTCGTTTATTCTAAGAGTATCCAACTACACAGCTAGTCAGTACGCCTTAAGTAACAGACTCTTTAAGGATGGGAAGACCGCGGAGAAGATAGCCGTTAGGCTAGGGAGACTAGGATCGGGTAGGAGTAAACAAGTGGGAGTTACAGATTGTAGCGATATATGTAGAGACACATTTTAACTTGTCTTAGTCTTGTCGTGATGCTTTCCTTGATTATGAAGCTCATGCTTCTCTTTATATACGCCTCGTTGGTAGCCTTAAGTCACCGCTGAAGCTCGAAGCTTCTCTAGCGTTTACGGCGGTAAGTAAGCTATCCCTAAAAGGACAAACAGAGGGCAATGGAAGGCGCAACGGCGGCCCCTATTCTAAGACGCTAAGAAGAGAGACTGTATTATGTCGTCGACGAAGGATAGCCCACCTAGTGCTGGACTAGAAATCTATTTTGAAGGAGTGGCAGAGGGTGTTATGCGGGTGAGGTAATGAAAAGGGAAAGGAAGATGAGTGAAGGTGAGTGAGTGGCACGAAAGCGCTCCTACAGGTGAGTAGTGTTTAAAAGCGGCGCGGGGTAATGTCAGTGTCAGGGTGAATGCGGCGTAAATTTACCAAGTCTTTAAATCCGTATTAAGAAGTCTAACTCGTTAAGGGGGAATTAAACGAAGAAAGGTAGCGTATAGTCTAAATCTCTTACCGAAGATAATAATCTAGAGTACGGTTCTAGCGACTCAAGGTCGTAGGAACGTACTTTTATACGTTACGGACTTAAGCTTACTTAACGTATATACCTCTTACATAACCGTTAGCTACAGCTTGAGCCTATAATTCGTCGTCCGTCTCTCTTCGCGACCCGATAGCCGTAGGGTCGTCGTACTATTAAGGACCCAAGAATAGTAGTAACTAAAGGTGATAACTATAAAGAGAAATCTATTATAATAGAGCACTTCAGGGTTCGGCGTGCACGTACAACAACGCACAGAGGCCTATCCAGCAGATCGGAAATCGAGAACGCGTTTCTGGTTGATACTGACAAGACAACGCCACCACCAACACCACCCAGAGGGGCAGCGGCTAGGGCTACGAACACCTAGCACAGCGGCAGCATCGAGGAACAGGACAGAATTAATAAAACACTCAGGAATTAGGTAGACGGCGCTAAAAAGCCATAGAATTCATGATACTCTGCTCAAACTGTAAAGAATGGTACTCTGCCAGCACTGTAAACTGTTCCGTAACCCCTCTCTACCAGCCTATTTAGGTTTGATATGTGACTAGATAACTTTTTCTCTTTATCACCGCCCTACCAGCTCAGCACAGCACAGCCACTTTGCCTTGTTATAATAGATTAATAGAAATAGCCTAGACTGCGAAGCTCATAAATTTTAGAGCGTAATTAAGGATCTATTTCACGGCGAGATGGTATCTCGAGATAGAATTAGTGAAGAATAGTACTATAAGAATTACTATTGTTTATACTAAAACGTAACTTATTGTACGCGTGAAAGGAGTCACTAGTATTACCTAATTAGGTAGTTCTAAAATCTAAGACGCTACGACTCTACTATATTAGGCTTAGCTTAGAATAAGATTATCCTTGCGTTACGTGGTGTATTTAAACTTTTTGTATTCTACTGTATCACTCTATTAGCCCTACATAGTATAATATAGCACAGCCACTTTGTCTTATTATAGTACTAAATCTTAAACCATTAGCTTAATAGCGTTAATATTCACTAAATTAAAGACTTAGTAAGTTATTCGCTTTTAGTGTAAATCTTATTTCCGAAATAGAAAAGACTTTTTTAAATTTAATAATATTATATAATAAATATATTATAAAAGTTACTAAAAATAGATAGTCTATAGAGGCTCATAGCCTAGATATAAAAGGTATGAGCGACGGTGAGCTCCCTGGGCTCCCTGGGTATATAAGAATGCCGTGAGCCGCGGGAAAAATTGCTTATGGAGCTCACTAAATATTAGAGATAGAAAAGCGTTAATCGGGCGTTTAAAGAGATGAGATACGTTTTAGATCGACTCTAGTAGACGGTATTCGAGTGGAGAAGAGTATAGATGTAGATTGACGACGATTTCAACGCGAGTTCTGAGTAAGACGTGGATACGGCTAGTATTAAGGTTAGTATATAAAGCCGTGACGTATAACCTCGGATGGCGGATGTTACTAGCTACCGAGTTTACATAACTAATATAGAGTAGATTATTTCATTGACCTAAAGAATTCTCTCATTCAATCTCGACATAGGCCCTTCCTATCTACGTGAATTCAGCACTCTTATTCCTAGCTTAACCCTAAGGTATCCTAAGCCATGTTCATCTTAAGACTCCCCTCTTGAATTTGAGTTACTGTACTGTAATACACTTTATTTCTTTCACAGCATAATATAGTCGATTACAAAACCGCCTTCCACTTTAAACATTCAGGAAAAGAAATCTGGACCACAGCCGAAGGGCTGTCACTGGCGTATCTCTAGCCAGTAACGGTAAGAAACTGTGGAGCTCATCTTTCAATGGAAATGATACAAATTTTCTAGCGTATGGCGAACGCTTTGTTCTAATGACATCATTGTATTGTCTGGAAATCGGCTTCGTGCCAATGTTACAGCTAGCCTGTAAAGCAGCAATGCAGTCTTTTGGCACTTCTGACTTTCCACCTTCTCGATGCGCGCAGCTACACCTCCTTGTGCTAAATTTGTGTGACAGAAGAGAGCCTCTCTACCTGCTACGGTATATCACGAACACTAGACATATAGAATTTGGAATATGCTTTCACAATTTTAACTACAGTGCTCGACCAGTCCTACAGTCGATTGCAAAACTTCCTTTGGGCTTGCAAAAACACTTCAAAACTTTACCAACCCCACATTCACATCCACTATGGCTTGCGCGTCTCTATAAATGGTAAAGTTCGTCTAAGTTAGAGCGAGATTGATTCTACTATAATGGCCAGCTCTCTTCGGCACTCACCTTCCCGAGTCGAATGAGCAGGGATTACGGATTTCACATGAGGAAGTAGCTGATGTCAATCCAGGCAGCCTGTTAAAAACAGCACCCACCATCGGAGACCTGGAAAGGACTCATCGATTCAAGGTCGGGAGAGGATTAAAAGAAGACCTCATATTCTCTGAGTAGTGGCTCGTATAAATAATCATTTATTGACCACGTGGTCTAAGTTTTCGAAGCGCGAAGAGCTAGATATTGCTTGGGATGTTGTCTCCTGGCTGCCGAAGACGTCGGTATCGGAGTTTCAATAACAGATGTCTAACTTGTTACTCCCTCGTCATAATTGTCGCTGCGGCGACCGAGACTGCTGTGGGCGAGTTGGTTAACAATATGAGGGCATTTCCCCTAGAAGATGTGACCATAGCGCAGACATCCAAGTTCTTCACCAGATCACACTCGAATCCCAACTGGAAGATACCTCGCCAGATAGGCTGTAATCTGTTGTGTAATATCCTTTGTCCATCTCCGGTTATTACTACTGGTGGCTGCTCTTGATGAATCGCCGAGAGATACAATCAACTACATTGTAAGGTATGTTAACAGCGTTCCCATCGGCCTTATTGACCGAGTTCTTCCGCGGTCAGAAGCTGAAATTCTACCATCAACTATAGTTTCTATCTATATGATGCTTTTGAATTAGAACCCGGACTCAGAGCGAGAGAAATACTAACAGTATCGTGATGGAAAGGCCGATATTTTGCTCCTATACTTCGCCCGAATCGAAAGGTTTTGGTGTATAGTCCTCTAAGTTGACAAAACCTGTTCTGTTCATCGTGTTTGCATCTGCAACACGTTAGAGAGTCCAGAAAAAGCATTTTTCGACACACCTTCGGCAAGTTCCTCCATAAAAGTTCCAAAGCTCTTCATGAAGATGCTTGCGTTCTCTTTGATCCCCATGTTGATAGGTTGCTGATTTTTTCCGACCTGTCCAATCTGTGTGCCTGCAACAACCGTGGTCAAACCAAAACTGGACTGGTCTACTTGTTGCTCGATTGCTCCAGTCACCTTTCCCTGCAGGATTTCGTTCGGTAGGCTGAATTCTTGAGCAACAGGCCGTCCCAATCCAACACCATCCACGGTGCTCAATGCTGCAACCATTCCTTGTACCGTTCGAAGCCCTCCCGTGATGTAAATCTTCGTGTCTTGAAGTTTCATCATCTCTGCAAATTCTAAAAAGAATCCCTCTCTCTTCTGTGTGCTTGCTCGTTTGCCTTCGAGGGGTCCGAGATCCTCATACGTACCACCACTCAACTCAACCCAATCAAACTTGGCCTCTTCCAGTAAGGCACAGAGTTCAACAGCCTCGGATGGAGTGAATCCTTGGTCCTGGAATTCGACGCTGTTGATTTTGATCCCCAGTGTGAATCCAGGCACCTTTTTACGGATTGCGTCTGCTATCTGCAGAGTGATGCGAGCCCTGTTCCTTAAATCACCTCCGTACTGATCCGTTCGTTTGTTTGTAGTCTTTGAGAGGAATTGTGCCAAGAGATACCCGTGAGCTGCATGAATCTGGATCCCATCAAACCCGGCAGCTTGAAGATATTGAGCTGCATGTACAAAAGCTTCGATAACTGCATCAATATCTTCTTGCGACGCCGGTCTTGGCTTTGCGAATGACTTGCCCATTGCACCTTGCAGTTGGATGTCGCTTGCGGATATTGGATTCGCTTGAAGCCTGCTGTCGGTTTGTCGGCCCGGATGACTCACTTGACCAGAAATGAGACTACCCTGTTTTTTGGCCTCGGATGCCAATTCTTTCCATGCTTCAAATCTGCACCCTTCACACAGCGCGTCTGGTGGAATAATAAGGTTACCGGGTGATTCCAACTGATCGTAAGCTACCATGATGTTTCCTGTTAGTATATGCCCAAATCCTCCCTCTCCCCATCTTTGATAGACTTTGATGACCTCCTTAGAAGGTATTCCACGCGCTGAAAGATTCGTTGAGTCCCACGAAGAGATCTGTTCGCTCATAGCCGCTTTGAGGAATCGGTTCCTTGCTGTTTTGCCCGAATGCTTATACGTGATCGGCAGCCCGAGAGGCGCAGGGTCTACCACCGTGGAAGGGATGCGCGAGAAGGCCATGATCGAGTCGAGAGCTGTGAGATTGACTAATTTGAGTGAAGGACACATCGAAGACTGGCAATGTATTTATAGTAGATTTTCACCACGGACATACGAGAATAGTGTGGTTTCAAGCAAACATTCATTTCTTGCTCCTTCATTTTGATTGGATATGTTAAGAGTTTTCACTATCTTGAAGCATCGGCTGAATGCAAGTAACCCCCGAAATAATGCGATAAGTCCGACTTGACATGTTCAATAGGTCATAATTCTCAAAACGTCGATGGTGCTGCTGGACTAGGTCCTTATAATCGGCCCAGACCAGCTTAACGTGAACGCAGGATTTCAGAAGACCCACCGATCGTACGGATGGCTCACATCAGCCAGTGGATCCATATCCGTCCGAAGCAAAATACCTCCAGCTTCCTGCTAAATCCGAGGCAAGGCGCGAATAGCACCGGTTCCTAAACGAATCATATCCTCGCAGGGCGGTTTCGTTGTCGCTCAGTTTATCGCCAAAACGATGAAAACTATCGAGTGCAGGAATGTCGCTACTCCGACTCATAACGGCTCATCACCTAAATTATCCATTGCAGCGGCTCAGGTTCTCCGGACGAGTGGGATAGTAAGCATCCTGTCTCTTTGTACACCCAACATGCGTCTCTGTCCTCTCGAGCCATGTGGTATCGCCTAGGAAGCGGAAGCCTGATGCTGTATGCTTAAGGAGTAAACAAGGAATCACCTGGGCAGGAAAAGGTCTGGTCCCCCTTGAGCTGTGGACGCGGAGACCAGTGAGGAACGCTGAATCGTAGGAGTATATCTAGATAGGTAGATACGGCGCAACACTATATGATTCCTTGGCGATGCTTTACACAACCCACGAGGCACCTGCCAGGCGGATGGCACGGGCGTATGGTGAACTGGTGAACTGGTGAACATGGAAGAGATCGAAGCCTTTACCATGGCCCCATGGCATTATGCTTCCCGCACAGCTGTCCACATCACAGAAGACAAGGACAGGTGCGCCGAGCTGGATCTGAACGCGGAAGGAGCGAGGTACAACTATTTACCAATGCGTCACAAAGGAATGGCTTGACGGGCTGCTGGACTGAAATATCGAGATAGGACGCAGACTAGGATATGTCGGTACAATTCTCTGGACATCTTGACTCACATTGGAATGAACTCAACTTCCGCAGCATGTGATAATTGCTCTTGTAGAGACGTAGGCTTCAAAATTTCGGGTAACGAGGAATGAATGCCAATACAGTACACGTTGGCAGTTCCAAACTATTGGAATGGGATGACAATTCGAACCTAACTTCTGATAGTGGAATGATTAACGTGAGTGGGGACGTCGTATCTGATCTTCTACAAAAGCCAGAATGGCTTGGGTGAAACCTGGGAGTGCAAGATGCGTGGATCAGCTGGAATAAACAGAGAGTCCAATGGCTTTCACCAGAACATCGACCAGGTCATTCGGCTGTGAGGACATCGACCATTGCGATTGACTGCCCATCTGGGAGAATCCTCCTTTTCACCTTCGCCAAAGCCGGTCATTCGAATCAGGAAGGAGCACTAATCAATCAATTATAAGTTTAATAACTTTGCTGTGAAGAGGCGCAGTGGGGATGTTAAGTGATGTTATATTCTGACCTGGATTCACAGAGCGGCACCGTGTTGGCTCTTCCAGTTAAAAGTGCAGAAAGCTTCTTTCCTCAAACAATTTGCCACATCGTTATGTCGCGAGAATACTGTAGAGTTTATGGAGGGCCAAACAAGTGCAAAGACTTGATCCTGAGACCCTGACTTGGAATCGTTGTGCTGCAAACTTTGACGAACATGTTAAATGCCCAGCTGGTGCCGCCGGGGCCGAGGATGGCACTCATTTCGCGGACGAACGCGAGCAGGAAACACACTAGCGAGGTCTAGTACTAGCGTCGAACACGAAAACATGTGATCGAGTACGTCGATCCCTGAGTAAGTTTTGAGGAAGACTGGCCCATGGAACCTTGGAGCGTTCAACGCCATGATCAGCAAGCGCCACGGTGGCCCCTGCGATCTTAGCCTTGCATGGCGCTCCATCTCACAGTCGGCGAGCATGAGGTTATGCGGCGAATGATCGTCAGAGGGGCATCAAATGAAGAGATTGCTAAAGAAATCCCCTGCTCCATTCGCTCAGTCACAAACGCCCGCAGAAAGTATCATCTGTTCAGAAAGACCACTACGCCTCGTAACCCTGGTGGCCGTCCTCGCGCCATTGACCCTGCTGCAGCCAAAGCCCCTGCTCGAACGCCTCGAAGAAGATGACGACCTAAGCCTCCTAATAAGTGGGAAATATTTCAAGAGTAAATTCTTAAATATAATTAACGATTCTATAATATATTAATAATATAGAACTTATTAGAGTTTTGAATTTAAGAGACTCTAATATTAAGCTTAAAAGAGATATATTAAGATTCCTACCGGGGCCTAACTGGGTTAGGGTTCCTAGTAACAATCCTAATAGTATGAACTGGTTAGGAAGAACGTAAGGTATGAAAAGTCACTTATCACTAAGAACTATAAGTCCAATAGTTAACATGAGTTAGCTACGAAGAGAGTGTAAGCTATCTGGGGGGGAAAACGAGGGTATATATAATGCTCATGCTCTGTGCGCTCTGTGCGCTCTGCGCGCCCTGCTAGCAGAGCCCACAGGGCCGACAGAGCTAACAGGGCATATCACGTAGTTCAGCCTTGTTCCCTTATAGATCCTTCCATCTATCTAATAAGTGTCTTAAGCCGCGCCTTCGCAGCCCGTAACCGGTCTCTTCTAAGGCTGTGTCTAATAAGATACTAGCTTAAGTTATCGTAGTAACTAATGCGCGAGATCTTAATACTTTAAAATAAGATATATCGAAGATAGTAGAGAAAAACGCGACTCTTAAACATTAAATAAAGAACGACCTTTAAGGACTCCCTAGTTAAAGGAATATTGGAGTTTTAATTAAGCCATTCAGAAACTCTTCTTAGAGAATAATCTTTATAATGATTAGATATTACGATAGCGTCGCCTTTTCAACTCTAAAATCATTTCTAGAATAATAAAGATAATATAGCGATGAGCTAGTGTAAATAAACGCGTATTAAGGTTTCTACCGGGGCCTAACTAGGTTAGGGTTCCTAATAATAATCCTAATAGTGTGAACTGGTTGGGAAGAACGTAAGGTATAAGAAGTCACTTATCACTAAGAACTATAAGTTCAATAGTTAATATAAGTTAGCTACGAAGAGAGTGTAAGCTATCTAGGAGGGAAAACGAGGGTATATATAATGCTTATACTCTGTGCGCTCTATACGCTCTGCGCGCTCTGCTGGTAGAGCTCACAGGGCCGACAGAGCTAATAGGGTATATCACGTGGTTCAGCCTTATTCTCTTATAGATTCTTCTATCTATTTAATGAGTGTCTTAAGCCGCGCCTTCGTAGCCCGTGACCGGTCTCTTCTAAGGCTATATCTAACACTATTCTTTCTTCGGTTAGATCCTTATCCTAAGGATTTATCTTAACGATAATATAAAAGCGGAACACTACTTAACTTAAATTTATCTAGGTCTAAAGATATCTTCTTCCTTCTCTTCCCTTCTCTCTTTTAGTCTTCGAAAAGTTCTCTCCCGTTAACGCGCTTCCGAACGTCGCCTCCTCGTCGAGAAGATAAAACGCTTAGGTTCTCGCACTATAGCTCCTTACTCGAATTATAGTAAGTCGTCATCTTTTTGCTTTCTTCTAAAAGGTAATTTCCGTTATAACGAGTATACCCGGAAAAATATAAAATATAATGGTTAATACTCCGAGAATAAGTTTTAGTTCTAGGAGAAGAAGAAGAAAGAGTTAGAGAATCGCTACTAAGAGGTACGTAAAGAGCTGGCTAAACGGGCTCGACGGTTAGCTCAGCGAATGGCTTAGGTACGAGCAGAGGCCGCTAAGTTCGTGAGTGAATCTGCCGAACTAGAGCGTCGGTTAGTAAGATATTAGCGGTAGATTAAGGAGTATATCCGTACCTAAAGCGATATAGTGATCCGGTAGTCTTAGGTGTTAGACGCTCTTAATCGAAAGAAGGGCTATATTTCTAATAAACCCGAGCCGCCGATAGCTTAGCACGAGTTTACTTTTGACGATGGGTAGCTAGACGCTCTGCTAACGTTAGGAACCACCCAAGGTGATTCTTCTTTATTTTCTTTAGAAGTTCCTTCGAAAGGTTAGCTTTCGGCTCTTAGCTGTTTTTATACTCGTCGTACCCTAACTATTTAATTAGATACTGAGGGGTACTACGCATAACGCGTCTTTTAAGAATTCTCTTAATATTATATTTCTCTAGTGCTAATTCTTCACTTAGCGATAATATCTTAACTAGTTTAGCGTTCTTTAGTATTAGTTTAAGAAATACTTTATAGAATATATTGTGTATACGTATATCTTTCGGTAGTTTTAGTCGATATATAACTTTCTTAAGCTTATCTTTAATCTTAAATAGTTCTAGCTTTATATAGTTTAGTTTTTCACTTAGTCGTTTTATTTTAATGTTTTTTTGTAAAAGATAGACGAGGTCTCTCTTCTCTAGGAGCGATCCCTCGATTCGTTTCTTATTTACGTATTTTACTATTCTTTCTACGAGGAATCTTAGATCTAATTTAAGTTAATCGTGAAGTTCTCTTATAGTAAGAGCTATACTTAGAGCTCTAGGGTTCGGGCTTCTATCTATCGTCTTCTTAAGTCGTAAATAGAATCCGTAATTTATAAAGAATAGGCTTATTTCTATTATTAATTTATAATTATTAAAGTAGAATTATACTACTAGTAGTAGTCGTATCTAATTAGTTTAACTATAATTTATATATATCCGTAAGTATTATTCTAATATTTAGTTAGTTCTTTCTATTTATTTATCGATCTATAAATAGAACGATATAAATAGCTTATACTTCGTAGTTAGTAGTTTCATTAGTGCTTTCTAGAACTTAGATATAAAGAGCTTATCTCTAT